CAGTTGGATGCATCGATCAAAGCCAAATGCAAGTGAGCTCATTCTTCAATTTCCGACGTCCGGTCAAGACAAACAGTTACCAACCAAGCTCTTCTAACACAAGCAAGATGATGTTCAGCAAGACAATCTGCGCACTGTGTGTGGCAGCTGTGGCGTTCTCGGCTAGCACGGTGGACGCATCTGCAGAGGTGGCGCAGACGTACGGGCGGCTACACCAGAACTACGGCGGCTACGGCAAGCAAGATAGCTACGGCAGGGACGACGGCTATAACAACCGCGACGCGTACGGCAATCGGAACGGCTACGGGAAGCAAGACAGCTATGGCAAGCAAGACCGCTATGGCAAGCGAGACGGGTATGGCCACCAAGACAGCGACGACTCGCTCGACAGCTATGACACGCGTGGCGGATATGGCAAGCAGAACGGCTATCGCAACAACGACGGATACGGCAAGCGAAGTGGGTACGGCGGTGCGCTGGTGGGTACTAGTGGCTACGGAGGCGTGGGAGCTGCCAAGGGATACGGTACTGCTGGCGCCGGAGCTGGTCTGCAAGGCGGTGCCGGCCTCAACGCAGGCGCTGGTGTGGGCGCCAGAGGCTACGGCGGATTGGGTGCTGGTGTCGGTGGTAAAGCTGGCGCTGGACTCAATGTGGGCGCAGGCTTGAATGCTGGTGTCGGTCTCAACGCCGGTGCGGGACTGAATGCCGGCGCTGGACTCGGAGCAGGCGTCGGCGGTACAGCTGGTGCGGGTCTCAATACCGGTGCTCGTCTCGGTGCTGGTGCCGGGCTCAACGCTGGTGCAGGCCTTAACGCGGGAGCGGGTCTGAACGCCGGTGTGAGTGACAATGCTGTCGGCAAGGCCAATGGTGGATACTCCAAGGACACGGGCGCCGCACAGACAGCTACCCAGTCGGGCGGCTACCGTCACTTGCGCGCGTAAATACCCAGTCCACTGGGTCTCCGGAGCGGATGAACCGCTCCTGTAGGCCGGTAATGTGGACTATCAGGCTGGGACCATTCGTTGAAACCGGCCACACTCGGACGATGTGCCGAGATCTAGCACGGGAAACGTGCTTTACATGTTCGTTGTAGTAGCTGTCATGTATGTAGGGGGTACTCTTCACTGTGTAGAGCGCACTTAATCCAAACACGACCTGATTAGTTGTTCATTTTCGCCTTCTCTGTATGGACGTCTGCTGCATACAACGATATCTTAGCCACACGTATCTTCGTCCATCGAAATATGTATGTAGCCATTTAGATGAAGTTGAAGTGACTGACCAATGAAAGAGTAGGCGGAAGTCTCTGGATTCATGGACATGTATCGCCCTACAACAACGTGCGGTAGATTGTTTAATGTGGTGTCCTCCGTCCCCAACGACACTGTGAATATCACCGCTGCCCTGCCACAAGTAGCTTGTCCTTTTCCAGTAATCCGCGGCAATTTGAACATGGCTACATTGTGTAGCCCGGGTGTAGCCATTTGGAGCCTGCCGAATTCTCCCAAAAGTAATTATATTCTCATTTGTTATTTGCCCATCAACATGGCAGAGGTGACGCAGCGACTAGCTGCTTGCGCCGACGATCTCGCCGTCGTGACGGAGTTACGGTCCGTTCTGGCTGGTCTAGCAAGTACACAGGACCGTCGAGCTGTTGTGGACGAGACCGTGTCATTCCTGACGGCGTCAGAGGAGCGCTGTGCCCGCGCAACGAAGGCGCTTATTTCGGATTTAAGCGAAAAAACTTTGGAACGCGAGGTGCAGTTGGAGCTGCTGGACGCACTACTCGTCTGGGCGACACAGAAATCGGTGGACGAAAACCACGAGGTATTAGAGATACTGCTACCATTTTTCCAGCTCGCAGTGACGAGTCTGGGTGATGCTGGAGGTGGGAAACGATGGCTCAAGTGGGGGGACCAGGTGCTGGCTGTGGTGCACCAGAATGCGGCGTTAATAGAGAAGCAGGAGTCTCTGGAAACGGGAGAAGAAACAAATGAAAGCTCTGAACGATGGAGTCGCTATGTGGTAAAAATTGCGGCCTTATTATTGCAATTACGCAATAAAATGGAGGGAAATGACGATACTGCGCTGGAGTTAAAGACGGCAACTTTTGTGTGGAAGGTAGGTTGTTGGAATAGCACACAATACGTTTATTACTAGTGAAGAACTAATGGTTTTTGTTGTTATGTGTAGAATGTAGCCAAGTTGGCGACTGCTTTTGGTCCGACTCTGGCAAGCTCAGTATCGAGTGACCCGAGCGAGTCAATCAAAGATAAAGATGCTGAAATGGATGCAGAGAAATTCGGTGTGGATGAGCTCTTGGCTGCTGCAGTGGCGTCTGTCGAGCGAAGTGTTGGGCAGTTGCTGTGTGTCTTGGATGGAGACACTACTGGCAATCCAGATCTCAGTGTGTTGAAGTTTCTGAAGCTTTACTGGCGGGCACTCCAACGACTGATTACCGCATTTGCAGACAGTTTAGAGTGCGAGCTGGAGAATTGCGTCCTAGCAATTGTGAATGTGACTGCGAGTCTGCTTTATGCTGTTCGACACAGTTTAGTGCCGATGACGTCGAAACCAGGACAAGAGCTGCGAGACATGCTTGGCCAAGCACTAGAAATGACTGAGAAATTGGCAGATGGTGGCGTAAATGACCAAACAAAGGACAGTATCCGCACCTTGTTGTGGTATCCTACCACTGATATGGTACGCGCGGTGGGGCAACGTCAACCGTCGGAGATCACGAACGTTGATGTGGAGAATTCGATCCAATGGGGACATTTACTCGTACTTACAGCATTTGCAGGCTTGAGCGGGGATAAGCTATCGAGTACTGAGGTATCGTACGATGACTCTATTCGAGCTGTGGAAGTCTCGCAGTTGTTTGCTCGTTATCGGGAGTGTGCGCTGAGTGACACCATCTCCCGCTCAGTAGAAGCGACGCAGCTGTTTACAGATTTGATGCTAGAATTCCTCTCTGGTTTTGAAAACATCGCGGAACTACAACTAACTCTGCTGAAACAAACGCTGTATCCGGACTGGACGCAGCGTACACTGTGTTGGGAGATCTGGAGGGAGTTATTGTGCTTCAGTTGGGACGAACCACTCGCAGTGCAGACGCTGCAGCTGCTTATTGACGTAACTCAGTGGGACGACTCGGATGAATTCGCGCTTGCAAATGGCGTGGAAGACGAAATCCTGCAGTTAATCGCGTTCGTGTATGCTAATTTGCCTCTATCGCTTAAGGATGTGTGCATGGATCAAGTGACTGCAATTATCGACATGATCAGTAGCGAAGGTCCAGGGCATCAGTTCAATCAGCGCGTGGCGTCGCAAGTGCATTTGCTCGAGAAGCTAGTAGCTGCTCAGTTCCTGAAAGAGTACGACGGACCGATGAAGGATGAGTGGATTGCCAAGTACCTTCCCATGTGTTTTGAATGTTGTGGCACAGTTCTTGAGCTTTTATCAGCCGAAGGAAAAACTTCTACATCGAACAGTGACACTATACTTGGAATGGTACGCGTGCTGGACATGTGTTTGATGGTGTTGAGAGGGGTGTTCGACGACAACGAGCCCAAGCAAGATGACATCGCCGAGCTGTCGGTCATTTTAGTTCGGATGTCCACCGAGGCGTTATCACAACTAGCGAAGCATTTCAAAGCCACGAGTACTTCTCAACCTGGTGTACAAGCCAGTAGAAAACACACAAGTCGAAGCGTAAAACTGAAAAAAGCTGGATCTCGCTGCATCGGGCGGGCTATTGAGACTTCGTTGTATCTACTTTCGAAGCTTGGGCCGGTTCTCAAAGCGAATATAAACAACCAGTGCGCGCAAGTGACGAAGGATCTCTTCACGCTTATCGACAACACGCAGACTGCTGCAATCGACACTTTGATAGTCACGGCACGGTTTATTGGCGTTTGTTTGTTCGACATGCAAGTTGCTAGCGATGACATTGCTGTTGTGTCGCAATTGCTACTCGCTCTGTTCCAAAAACTCTTCGCTGGAACCCGCACTGCTGGTCCCCAGGCGACGTTGCTGCTTTCAGTGTGTCTTGATGCTCTGTACGAGTTACTGGCGCACTCAAACATTGTGGAGCAGTCTGGCACACCATTGAAGACGCTTCTTACTGGAAATCTCAAGCAGTCGTTCATACAGATCGTGTCAATGCGGAAACTCAGTGCTGCAGATGTTGCCAATGCGTTGGAGGCATCTCAATCCAGCACACTCCAGTCTCTCAAGAAGAATCAGAGCTCCTGTTATCGCATCTTTAGGGACCGCTTTCCCGATGAGTCTGCTGGATTGTACGCAGAACCTGACCAGAACCAAGATATCTCCAGCAAACGATCAGCAGACGACTCATCGGGCACGTTGCCGCAGAAGCGTCACAAACTCAGTCATTTTGTGTCATTGTGCCGAGAAATTGAGTCCTCCTTGTCCTCCATTGAGAGCGACGAGGCTGCTGCGAACATATTATCTGGAAAGGAGCTAGAAGACGCCACCGCAGTGCTTCACAAACTCCTCACAAAAACCATCACGTTGTATTGATCACTACAACAAAAGAGGACAAGATGGTGGCAGGTAAAGAGTTGGTCTGTTGCTGCTGTGGATTTCACACACTAACATCACTCTGACCATTGCGCTGTTCAATAGGCTATCATCTGCTCTGTCAGGCTATACAACAAGCTCTCAACGATAAGTTCGGCCAAATCTCTGGAAGAAGCTCGGCTCGATCTTGCCGCGTGCCCGGTCATCGTTGGATTTCTCGCGTTCGGCTGCCTGTTTGGCCTGCTGCTGCTGGGCGGCACGGACTTCCATTTCCATCTGCGCTCGTCGTTGTTGAGTGAGATACTCTTCGTATGCGAGTGTACGCTGTATCTCGCGCTGGTTTCTGGACTCCTCCTCGACCTGCTCGCGTTCCTGCTGTCTGCGCCGAGCGTTGTCAGCCATAATGTCGTCATTCTGTCGAAGATAATACTTGGTCTGCTCTCCAGAGAGCCCTTTCCAGTGGTCTACGCGGACTCGGTGGTCCAGAGACACCCCAGGAAGCGTGGCTTGCAGTGGGTTCTCGCTCACGAGATTGCTCTCAAGCGTGAGCTGGATCTCGCGAGCGTTCTCTTCCTGCTCCTGTCGACGACGATCGCTCTCATCTTGACGCTGCTGAGCTAGAAGACGCTGGTTGAACCGACTGATCTCTGCCGCTGCTGCTGCTCGTTCGCGTTCGTTGCCTTCGTGCAGTTCCTGCATCAAGCGCTCGATCTCGAAGAGCTGAGCCATGTACGCGGCCATGTCTGCATTTTCCTTTGTATTGCGCTGAGCATCTTCAGCCATCTTCTGTATCGACCACTGCTTCATCTGCATCGCCTGCAACCGGATACGTTCAAGTCGAGCGAGATCTTCGCCGTCGAACTTCTGTGCTGCTCCTTGAGCGCAAGTGTCGGGATCGATACTCAAGGCTCGAAGCGCGATATATTCCGCACGAGCCTCACGTATTTTGGCAGTCTGCAGATCCCAGTCATTGCGCAGTGTCAAGAGCTCTCGACGCTTTGCCAGCGCGTCTTCCGACTCGACCTGGAGCAAATAACGTCGGATAGCTGCGTCCTCCTCTTCACTGACGCGTTTGGCTTCACGATCTGCTTCGTTCTGACGTTCTCGCTCCTCGATTTGGTTCTTTACACCGACGATATCCGCCTGGAAAAAGAATACATTTGAGTCCTGAAACATTGAGAATGAGAACATTGAAAAACGTACCCCAATGCTGCGAAGACGACCAGGTCCCAGCTTCTTATAACGTTCGATTTCGCGCTGACGTCGAGCCTCAACTCGTAGCTCTTCCTTATCTTCAGGTGCCGATGGCGGCGGCATCGTCCCTACCACCATTGTTGAAGTTCCTCCTGCGTACTCCTAGGCTTTACGTCTTCTGTCCACAGGCCTTGTTGAATGTGGTTTCGCTTCTTGGTTTCCTGTTGCCATGGGATGCCCCAAAATTGTATTCCTGCCATGACCATTTTTAGTGTCAGATCCATGATACAACAAAACGAACCGTGTTCAAAGTGTGTTGAACTCCTATTTACATGTTAGACTGGGATGCCAGCTAAAGGTAATTCGCTGGAGCGAATCAATATATTGTTTGTGTGAGTTTCTTTGTCTTCTCGCGTTTCTGCGGCGTCAATATGTTGTTGTTTGTGATAAAATACCTTTGATAAAACACAGAGAGGAACCACCACTGCCTCGCTCCATCTTCAATCACTGGGATGCACGAGGTAAGGAGGTCAAGGAAGCTGATTAGACAGCCTCTTCCCGTTTGTCACTGTCATCCTCGAGGTTTTTGAGGTACTCGTCAAGCGTCATTACGCCGCGAATCAGCACGGGCCGCTTGCGACCCAAGATGGCCTCTTCATCCACGTACACGGCACGCACGTCGTTCATGTCGGGCAACTCAAACATGGTCTCCATGAGCGCACGTTCAAAAATGGAGCGCAGTCCTCGCGCGCCTGTGTTCTTGCGTAGAGCCGACTCCGCCACGGCCTCAAGGGCACCTTCAGTTGCATGGAACTCCACGTCACTCAACGCAAACAGCGCCTTATACTGCCGCACTAGACTGTTTTTAGGTTCCGTGAGCACCTGAACCAGCTCATCCTTCGATAACCCCGTAGTGCTCACTAGCATCGGGAAGCGTCCGATAAACTCGGGAATCAATCCGTAAGATACGAGATCCTCGGGCTCCGCTTGAGACAGCAACTGGCCGATCTGATCGCTATCTTTCAGCCTCATATTGGGCATCTGGGCTCCAAAACCGATAGACGATCGGGACGTCCGGCGCGTGACCTGCTTCTCCAGTCCGGCGAACGCACCGCCACAAATAAACAGGATGTTGGTCGTATCGATGGTAATGTACTCGCCGCGCGGGTTCTTACGTCCGCCCTTCTCGGGCACATTGACCATACTTCCTTCAAGGATCTTCAGCAGTGCTTGCTGAACGCCCTCACCCGACACGTCACGTGTGATACTCACGTTCTCACTCTTACGCGTGATCTTGTCGATCTCATCAATGTACACGATGCCACGCTGTGTGGCCTCCAGGTTGTAGTTGGCTGCCTGGTACAACTTAAACAACACCGACTCGACATCTTCGCCCACGTAACCCGCTTGAGTCAGACACGTCGCGTCGGCAATCACAATCGGAACCTTCGCCAATCGCGCCAGTGTCTTGGCCAGCAGTGTCTTGCCCGATCCAGTTGGTCCTACCAGCATGACATTGGTCTTGTCCAGCTCCACACCTTCAAGATACTGCAGCTTGTCGCCCAACGAGTGGTGCTGCAGCCTAGTCGCATGCGTATGTGTCGTCTCAGTCGTTTTCGGAGCCTCCGCCGTCTCTTCTGAAGCATGTTGCTTCGAATTTTGCGGTACTTCTGCATCATTCTTCTCTGATCCAGGATAAATCTCCTCCAACAAGAGACGACGGCCAATACTCGACAACCGCGAGTCATCCATGTCCACATGTTGACGCGTCACGCCCCCCGCACGTGGATGTTGAGAGCTTGCGTTGTGCTTGGCACAAGCAGCTTCCGCCTCTTTCCTGGCCTGTAGCAACTCCAGTGCATGGAGACGCTTGTAGTGATTGTGCACACCTACAGCGAGCGTCTTCTTGACCTTATCCTGGCCAATAACGTACTCGTTCAGTCCGTCGTAGATCTCCCTGGGCGTCAGTACGCGGTCTTTGCTGACTGTCGTATCCGCCGCAGCGGCGAAAAGCGCCTCATTGGCCAATTTCTCGTATTCTCCGTCGGCGTTCATGCGTCCGCCACGTGTGGAAGACGGGAAGTTGCCGCTGTACGTGGGTCCACCCAGACTGGAGCCACGGGTAGTCTGCATGCTTGGGGACAGCGACGAACTTAAGGAGCTCAATGCTGCAGCCGCTGCGGCATTGCGGAAAGTGGGGCTGGGCTGAGCCGGGGGCTGCGCTTTGAGTGCGAAGTGCAGGTTGCAGGTGACGCACTTGACCACGTCACCCTTTTTGAATTCGACCGGGGACGTTGAAGTGGATGACGTCGCAGGATTTGATGACGTCGACTTGTCCGCACTGCCTAGAGGCTCTGCGAGTACGAGCGCAGCGCCGCATTGCGGACAGCAGAGCTGGTCTCCCGCCGCTTTCTTCTTGTGGCTGTCGCTGGGGGGACCTGTGACGACTCCACGCGTCGCGTAGGCGGTGGGAAGACGTTGGAGGCGGTGGGGGGTTGTGGAAAGCTGCGAGAAGGTGCGACACGGCGACGGGACTGCCGACATGTGCGTGGGCTGCAGCAAGTGCGAGACGCAGGCGAGGGCCGAGGTGTCGGGGCGGAGGCGACGGAGCATCGTAAGCGCGGCGTGTGAGGTAGCGTGGAGGGGAAGAGCGCCGCTAGAGACTTCGCGATGCTGGGTGCGAAGAGGCCTCTTTCCAAATGGAGCTTGAAGCGGGGAAACGGAAGCATTCAGGCGACGCTTTTCACCAATCAGCGACTAGAACAGGATCGACATAGTAGAAACAAGTGCGTAAGAGATCTGACACTTGAAGAGCAACGGTAAAGTCTCAGCTAACAAAAATCAAGGGCTGTTGTTCCTATATGCTAAATTTTGTCGACAAGATGTGCTTACATCAGCAGCACGTGAATAAGTTTGCGGCGAGAAGCTGCACGGTTGCCCACTACTTATTATCACTGGTGTGCTCAATATCCGTAAAGCTGTCGGATGACAATCACACATTAGTATTTGCTCTTTAAACGCGTGCTCGATGTCAACTGCTATTGGCCAAAATTTCGAAGCCATCACAAGAAACGCAGCAACTTCAACCAGACTGGCACCACTCGAAGGTTCGAGTGCCGCCGCATTTTTCAGATCCAATGATCGCGCCCATTATGTTGCTCTTGCACACGCAAAGCGCCAGTTCCGTCACCACAGGAGACCGTGTCTATATATGTAGACCAGTCTTGAGTGTTGTTTCATCTTATCCCTGCTCAACAGTCTCTCAACCTAAGAGTGTCAAGGCATCGGCGTTTCGCCGTGTATTCGATTGCTTTTGAAAAGTATCACCAGCAAGAACCGCATGCCTCCTTTTCGAGGGGGGCAAACGAGAAGAACGTCAGATTCCTTGTATATCAATATTTGTAAATTGCAATTTGTAATTGTTTCACGGTGTATTTTGCTCTTTCAAGAATAAACTATAGTCAAAAAGCAACATTTACAACCATTGCTACATTCAGGAGCAATTACTATAACGTGTTGCGCCTTGAAATCGCTCGTTTACTCCTTCCTCTCACATCATCCCGTGGCGGTAAGGCAGTGACTAGAAGTCACAGGTTGAAAAAGATCAAAATATTTGGAGGTTGCAGCATCACGAAATCGCTCCATTTTCCACTGCTATCCGCTAGAGCGAATCCAGTAGAATTGACAATGTGACATCACACTTGGTTTCAAAGCAATGGTTTGTGAGCTCGAAAAATAAACTCAGTTGTCTGTAAATGCAGATTTTTATTTCTTGTTAGTTTACCCTAAAACCCCCGTCCCAACGCTGAGTGTTGTTTGGAGTTGAGCGGTGAATCGTAAGCTAACCTTGTAGTATCACTTGCAAAACTGCGTCTACATGTACCACGATCAGTGGCCGGGTATACCTGTACGAGCTTTTAACGCTTCTTAAATTACTACTGTGCAATTTTGCTAGATACTTGAATCAAGTATCAAGTCTTGATCGTCGTACATGTATAACGAGTCCAAAGTAGGCCAATCGACATATCTTTCCATCATCATCTTTGCTAGATACTCTCACCAAACATGTGTACACGTGACAAGAGCGTTAGGCCTATAATAACTTCTGTGAGGTCACGTTCATTATTGCATACCGCTCACTTGGTTTATTGTCGACGCGTAGCCATCTCTTTTGGGAGCCTCTGATTGGCTGATGTTGTTGAAGTGGTAAAGTTGCTCTATCGCGCACTCAATGTTAACTCTCAGCACCAATATCTGCTGTCTATTTGACTACACGCATTAGGCATTCCTGGCAGGACTCCTGCTGGCATGTTGCAATACCAAGACAGGTACTAGTACGGTGCTATCAATATCTGCCAAATTTGCCAAAGTCCATGGTACACATTTCTCTCGTGTCGTATGCACGATTGGCGACAGAGTCGATCACCAAGCGCGTTAGTAACGGTCTTCATTTGTACAGCGCTGGGAAAGCACCTCCCTCGCGTCGGTCTCGATCGTATGGCCTGCATCCTTCCGAGAGGAAATTCGATGGCGTCGCTGGCTGTTAATGCCAGCCTGGTGTTGATTCCCAGCCGACCTGCTTGTCAGACTGCTAGCGGAATTTCGTTCGGGACAGCGAGGGCTGCATGGAGATCTGATAACAAAGCCACTTTGATCCACTACACATGTAGCGGTGATAGAGTCGCTCGTTTGGTCCACCCGACAGCAGTTCGATCGTGCGGACACAACAAAGACCTGTCTCCAGTAAGTTGTACACGTACAATTACATGTACGCACGTGTGCGTAGGAGCGGAGCAGCCACTTGAATTGAAACGATGCATCGTATGCCACGCAGCAAATGGTTCTCGCGTCCTTGGAGGCCTAGTAGTATATCTTGGGAGGACATCAACTACTCAGGTACTAGACACCACTCAAACACTGTGCCTTGTCAGACAAACGTGAAGGCTCTCAACAGCGCTGGCTTCGTTTGTGTTCCTGTCAAAAGCAATTGACTTGTCTTCAGTAAGTCACCCTGTTTTCAACCAATCATACGGCGATTGAACCCTGGCATGGGAACCCATCCTCCCAACTGTATCGCCACATCGAGCCTTCTACCCACACTCCGCATTCGCGCACTCCCGACGGAAGTGCTCGTCTAGTGTATGGCGGCGAGGCTGGTGCAGCCGCACGCGCCGACCGACGCCGAGCAAATGCAGGACTACCTCATCAATTGGAACGCCGGCCCACTGGGCGTGGTGCTGCGTCCCGATCTGGGCGCCGACATGCCCCCCGTCGTGGCGCAAATGCTGCCTCAGCCTTCTGTGCTTAAGATGGCGGGCGTGCGGGAAGGAGATCTGCTCATCAGCGTCAACGGCAAGAAGACCACGCGACTGGGATACGAGAAGGTGGTGCGACTGCTCTTCAAGGAGCGCCTCCCCATGGTCCTGCACTTCCGCTCGCCTCTGCAAGTGCCCGAGATGCAGCGCGGTGTCTCTGGGGCCATCGCTGAGGAGCCCTCTTCGGGCCGTGGAGGGCGCTCACGCACCAGCAGCTCAGCTCGACCGAGTCAGCAGCCTAAAAGCCGCTCAAGAGGCCGCTCAGACGTGGACACTCATGCGCTGATTGAGCAGAAACGCAACCCGAACGAACAGAACTTCAGTATTGACAGCGACGTGTCTACCAAGTCGGAGAAGAAGAAGAGTAAGCGAAAACACAAGCACAAAAGTGGAGCCAAGGCCGAGGCCGAGGAGAGACGTCTCAGGAAGCAGTACAGTGTTGTGTGGGAGCGAGGCTCGCTTGGGATTTCCTTCCGAGCTTACAACTCCAAGGTGAACGTCCCGTGTGTGGACTTTATCAGTGCCAGTAGAGGACTGGGGCGTGGTATGGATCGAGTGTGTGTCAACGACGTGCTCATTGCCATCAACGGAGAGAAGACCAAGGCTCTTGGTGTCGAGAAGGTATTGAGATGGCTACATGTCATTGAGAAACCCGTGGTGCTGAGGTTCCACGCGTCCTCGAACCGCATTTTGAACCCAGCGGGAGGTTTATTGCCACAACTGGCAGATGAAGACGCGGAGAGACCGAGACGACCCACGATGCCGCTGCCATTGCCTCAGCCTGAGTACGAGCCGCCTCCACGACCTCCACGTCGTAATAACAGCGTGGATCAACCACAGCAGAGGATGGAGAGAGGATATTCAGACGACAGGGAGTATGAACTGCAGCCGGCTGTGGCACCGCGACGATACTCGCGAGACAGTGCTACGTACTTTGAGAAGCAGCCGATCGAGGACTATGACACGCAGTACCAGTTCGGAGCGTCCAAGAGTGAAGTGAAGGAGCGTCGCTACTCTAAGAACTCGATGAATGCGTACGCACAAGATCATGACGAGGACGGCGTGGCTGGAGATTTCCGTCGTGAGCCAAAGGATGATCGTCAGCAGTCTGAGGATCGCTATAATCAGTCACAACTGCCTCCTCCTGTGAGAATTCGGACTAGTTCTGCGTCACGAGACGACATTCGACGTCTGCAGCAGTCAGAGACCAAACCTGCACTGCCACTTACAACTGATGCTGCTGCGCGACCGCGATTGGCGTCTCGTGACAGCCAAGTCAGCAATTCATCCCACTTGAGTTTTGAGGAAGCTACTGGTGTTGTCGCTCGTGCAGCAGGGAAACCCAAGGAGGAGTGCGAGTTTGGAGGAGTGCCACTGCTGGATATCAAGGAAGGAACGGTGCAGGCCAAGCTCATGTACATCTACGCCAAGGCGTGTCTAGCTAAGGAGGGCAGCTCGGATGACGAACCTGCTTCCAAGGACCCCCAGCCGCCTCGAACCCCCGGTAACCCGCTCGGTCGCAAGACGCACTCGAACTATCTGTCGTATACTATTCTACAGGACGACACTGTGGCTGCTAACCATATTCCCAGCCAGAGGGATGATGTCAGAGACGATAACAAGATCGAGCACGAGGAGTACAAGGCCCAAATGGCCAACGACGTGAATAACCTCCATGAACTCAAGCGCAGTGGCATCTTCAGCGACAATTTGGATGAGAGTTTCGCTAAGATGCAGAAGGACATTTCTATCCAGCAGCCACCACCGGTAGTAACCCCGCCACTGTCTTCTGCGGGGCCTTCTTCCTCGGTCAGTAGTGACGCGACCCCGACTGTGGCGCCTACCCCAGCACCTGTGACTCCTGCTGAAGACTTTATATCGCTCAAGGACTTCGTTGTGAAGGGCGATGGTATTTTGACGGAACGTCCCACGACGTCGAGCTTGAATAGTACGGCGACACCGGTGCAGTCAACGGATGGCGGTGAGACTGACAAGATGGAGGAGAAGCAAGAGCAAGATAGGCGGTCAACTGTTGCCAAGGCAGAAGAAACTGCTGCTGAGGCTAGCAGTGAGATGATGTTGGAGGAGCTCAAGTCGTCAGAGTCGAAGGAGACTAGTAGTGACCTTGTGTTGGGCGACCTGAAATCGACCGAACCGAAGGAGGCTAGTGGTCAAGATACTGAAGAAGTAGAGGCTGGAACGGATGCAGTCGAGCAGGAGGAGGCATCTGCTGAAGAACCGGCCAAGATTGCTGAGCTCGAAGAAGAGCACGCTGACGAGACACTACATGAAGATGACGATGTTGCTAGCGTTGATAGTTCTAATGAACGAGACCTGGCGGCCAGTGTGGCGTCACTGGACGATCTGCTTGATCTTAAGGATGGCAACCACGACGACGAAGAGCACGAGGAGTTTGTCGACGATGATGACGATGAGCAAGAGAACGAGAAGAACCACGCAGAAGAAAAAGAGTCGATGAATACGTCACTGGGCATGAAATTGGATCAGGTGCAAGAAGAGGAGACTGACGAGCACAACATCCATGAGCAGAATGATAAGGAAGACGTCCATAAGAAGCACGAAGCCCACGATGACGAACTAGAGTATGAGGACGGAGCCTTATCCAATCCGCTGGTGAACGAGCTGTTCCGTAACATCCCGGATGTGCGCCAAGTGATTAAGGACAAACCCGCCCTTGTGGTGCTGGTGAAGAAGACTATGATCGACGAGATCCAGGAAATTCTCCAGAGCTTGCAGATGGAGCTGCAGTTTGAGCGTCACTCTACCATGGCTGTTGGTTCTACTGCCAGCCCGTTGGGGGACTCGCAGCAAGGCCGGAATACTGAGGGCGAGCACTGCTACCGTTGTGGCGCGACTGGTGAACTTGCAGAGCTTGATGTTGCAGGAGGGAAGCGTGAGCTGTACTGCCAAGAGTGCTGGGAGCTCTTTTTCTTCAGTGAGGACCGCCGATCCCCAGTAACCAGAACCAGCAAGACCCTGGCGCCGTCGGAGGTTGGACGACTCACTGCGGACGAAGATGCACTGGATGAAGCGCTCAAGTACAGCTTTCACGACAGCGCAGTAACTCGTGAGGATATGATCCACCCGTGGCGGTATCTGCAGGGCAGCGACTCCATTTCGTCCTCTATCCGTGACTCGAACGATTCGAGTATCACCGACCGCACCGATGAGGTGTGGCTGTAAGAAACCATGCCGAGATGGTGTTTTTGGCGACGACTAACCGTAGAGTTTGTTGGTTGTCGTGCTGCTAGTGCTGCATGCATCGGGTGCTTAAACCGCCGAGGTATGTGGAGAGACAGAGAGAACAAGACAAGTAAGTGACAGAAATTCAGCGTAGCGTTTTGATAAATTGTGCGTAAATGCGATTTGTGCATCTGGCGAGCGACTGTTAAAGTGGAGTAGTTTTCGACATTGGTCCGAACATTCTCGCCAGTGACGAACGTTTCTTCTTCATAACGGTTAAAAACTTCAGTACTGGTCCTCAGAATCTTGGAAGGATGGATACATTCAGTCGAGAGCTTGAGGAAGTGGAGCCGCATCATGGAGGATAAGAAAAAGAACTCCCGTTTCTTAGAACCATCGCTCGTCCATTTGGCGCTACTGTACCAGCGCAAGTAACTTTGACCAGCTAACGCAACCCGCTCAGCTGGATACCCAATCATTTGTGGAGCGCAAGGGATTTGTCTAACCCTGCGACGTGATTCGCGTCGTGAAGGTGGGCGTTTCCACTTGAAAAGGGAGCAGTCCGGCGTTCGGTTCTTTTCGGTCTGTCCCTTCACTTCCAAAGCAGCACGAGGCACTGGACTGATGGTTCTTCCGGCCGCCACGTTGGCGATACAGAGGGCGGTAGACGCTGTCACCACGATGCCGTGGAGCGTACTGAAGCACGTAGAGCAAACGTTGCTGTGGAGTGTTCCACCGGAGCCCACAGGGCCCCAGTGGGCTGACGACGTCTTCACCGCAGCCAAAATCTCGACAGTCTTGAGCAGCATCGAGGACGAACTCACAGATAGCTGCAGCTCCGGGGTATTCTCTAGCGACGAAGACGCAGATTGGAGCAGCGACGAGGTCAGTCTGGACGGCGATTCGGACGACGAAGACGAAATGTACGCATATCAAGGTGAACGATGGTACTGGACGCCGCCTAGCTCGCTGAATAGCGTCCAGAGCTTTGAGGAGAAGTACGAATCTTTAAGTCAGCGTAGCGCAGACTTGGAGGAGTTCGGACTGGAACGAGGCGACGAGCACTACCGACGCCCTACGATGTACGCTATGCCCTCGATCGACTTTGCCTCCGGTGGAGTCGTTGACTCGTGGGTCGATCGCTACGGGTCCAGCAAGGATGACTTTACGTACGTCGCGACTTTGCCCAAGGATGACGAGGAATCTCAGGAACCTCACATAGTGCAGGGATTTTACATCCCGGTGCTGTAGTACGTCCAGACCATCGACTTGTATTATATGCAGACGCCAAATTGCAGAACTATAAAACAACGAGCGTCAGCCGACGCCTAGTGGCAACTATAAAACGCTAGAGAGGGATCTTGAGTCCACCGGTAGAGGGCAGAGGACATCGACTTCTCTTACGGACGTTCTCCTAAAATTTCAAGCTCCGTTACAAAATAGACAGTAGCCATGTTGAAGTGACTGTAGCCATCCTGCGCCATGTTAAAGTGGTTGCCCTTTTGGCAGAGAAGACGAACCGATTCTCTTCATAAATTCGGCTACACTGGACTGATGGAGCTCTGCTAGCTTGCTCAGCAATGACGGCACTTTAGAATTCCGGCGCTCAAGTGCAGGAACGAACAAACTTTAAGAGAACGACTGAAAACGCGCAATTAGCGATGGCGCTCCTCGCGCGCACCTTCCGGACAATCGTGGGACTCCCATGGAGATCCTTCGATCTTCTGGACCAGGCGATGCGGTGGAGCGCCATACCAGAGATTATGGAGGCGCCGACGTCCCAAAAATGGGCGGATGATCTCTTTACGCCCTGCTCTACCAAGTGCTGGCTGTCGCCTAAGTTCAGTTATGACGACGATACTGACAGCTCCGGGTCTGAGATCAGCTATGAATCCGATCTCTACGATGAAGACGACGATGAGGAATGGAGTTGTAGTGAAAATGAAGAAGAACTGGACGGGCTTAGCTTTGGGGGTGATGGATATGTTGACTGCTGGGGAGACCGCTGGTTCTGGAATCCTGGTTATGACGATGAGGGTGGATCGGATTTGATGGAGCTGAGCGATGCTGAGACATCGAGTTATGTGGTGGAGAGGTTGGTCGACTACGTCATGCCCACGATGGCCTTTAGCACAGAGGCAGCCATAGACGTCTGGATCGAAAAATACGGATCCAGTGCGTTGCAAGTTCGCTTCCTGACGGTGGTGCTGAGCGAACCTACAACCATCGATACCTCGGCGTATGGACTCCAGTGCATTAAAACAGGACTTTTCGTCGCTGTCCTATAAAACGCAAACGTACAAGATCGAACTGGGACACCAGAATAGTAGACTCTGCCAAAGAGAACCCGTAAACAGAATGCATTAACTATTCGAGATATGTAAGACTTTTTCCATTTAAAAAAAGTCGCATGATATCGTGTTACCATTATTGAAGAAGTGTTGGCCCCTCAAACCTTGATAAATATCTTCTGTAGGTCCATCCATTGTGCTACGATGATCCACCTGCAAGAAACACCAAAACACTCAACAAAGTTGTAGATGGTCTTAGACGATAAGCGTAGCTCTTACGTGAATAGACCGACAAGATTGTAGAGCAGTAGTTCGAATTGTGGTAGCCTCTCTCCAGTCTGCAGAGGTTTCGCGGCAAACGGAGCAAAATACTGACAAACTTCATGCTGCATTTATACCGAAACACAAGATTAGCAAGAAACAAGTCAAAACCAGCCAGACTCAGCACCTTACCATCACATAAATGAAGATTGAGTTCTTGCCCACGGAGGTGCAAGGAGCGCCAGACCATCTCACTCTCGCTTCACCATTAATAAGAATTGTGAGCAGTGCTAACAGCCAAGACGCCAAGCCCGAGCTCAACAAAACATATGAAAGGGACCACAGATTCTTGTTTAGTGGAATCCACGGGCCATGAGGAAATACCCAGAGACCTCCGCTCACGATGCCTGACAATATTAATCCACTTCCACAGACCGTAAGGAGTCGTAATTGGCGGCTCTGCGACTGTTCCAGGGTTATCGTGAGCAGTGCAGCTTGTAGATATCCAAGGTACGCCGTAGTTGCCACCATGATCCAGTTCAATAGCCCTTCGGGGTCGTAGGGACCAGTTTGATAGCGTTGCTGGCATGTTGGCGTCTGGAAAATGTGGTGAAGCCCAAACACGAGCGAATCCACGTACAAATGAGCCCCACCAGTGCAATTACGGTACACTCCACCGTCTGCTTGACCACCAGGACCAATGTACCCCGCCGGACAACCAGGCACGTGTAGCGTGAACGTCAGCAGCAGATTGACAAGAATTAATGGTAAAACACCGAGAATCAAATGCCAGACCAGTACGCGATATAAGCTGGTTCTTCTGCGATCATGCAATGGTAAGAACCAGTCAGCCACAGCAACGATCAGGTGCGCGAAGCTGAGAGCCTGTAGCACACCGGGGATTCTCCACTCGCTCCAGGTGTCTCCATTATTGATGAAGAGACCCAACACGAAGAGCTTTACTGTTCGTTGGCCGATGCGGCTAAATGCTTCCAGCTTCGACGTCTCTCGACTACTATCAGAGGATAAGAAGACGCTGAATCCGAGGATCCACGCAAACCTGAAATAAATGTTACAATCAGTAACATTTTTTTTATAATACTGCATAAGAGCCTACCAAGGGAAGACTAAGTCAGCGATTGTCAGTCCGTCCCAGATACTGTGAGTGAAGACAGCGAAGCCACCGCCTTAAAAACACCATCAGCAGCAGTACCACATGTGAGATCCCGGTAGTAATAACTACATTTCCAGAATTTCAACTTTCCAACCTCCGTAATTCACAAAGACCATGAGACTCAAGGTGAGTCCTCGAAAAGCATCCAATGCTTGATTTCGAGCCACTTTTCCTCTGTTCTTGTGTCGGTCGAGGAGCTCATATAAGCCCGAGTCCGACTTCAGTCGCGGAGGCATTAAGGGTTCCGTTATGCTGGAGGATCTTCTCGAATTCTGGCTAAACTCATTGGAGAGGTGGAAACTCTTACGCAGCAGTACGATTAATGCGGTAACCAATGTCGCGACAAGTGCTGTACTCTCAGTATGCATGGGAGTTGGTCGGGTGCTGTAAAGAGCTTGGACGTCGTCAGCGGGTAACATGGTTCTACGATAGAAAATAGATTGCACTTACTTAAGTAAGAAATATTTAATTTGCATTAGAAATACTTCATATTTTAGAAATAGTCGTTGTCGTTGAGTAATAAAATCTGGCTGGAAGTCAGTACTGATAAATTGGATGTTTTTCAGTGTATTTTTTTTTTGGACGAAAATTGACGTTATCGTTATGTACTGCAATAATTGTATCAATTTATTTTACAGAAAAACACAAGAGTGTTGGCACAATTCATTTTTATTAAGACGGCGCTCTTCATTTACCAAATTGACTTCACGGTCGCGATGCTGTCAGACGGTCGCGATGACCTCTATCAAAGCTGACGCGATGGCCTATTTGCAAAGGATTGGGCGCTTTCGTAGGAGCCCTGACACTGCTGTCCTCGCAAAAAAATAAAAAAACATGCTTATCGTTCGGCAGGCGCACATCGCCGGATGCTGCTTTATTGACTCTTGACGAACGCTCATTGCATCTCCTGTCTCTACCTCGTCTCTATGCGTGAACGTCGTCGCTCGCATCTAACTCGAGGAACGTCCACACCTCGAAACATTATCCTTCGCACCTACTCCTTGAGCTCAGCCTTCTTCTCGTTAATGACCTTGAGCACAACGGGGTTTGTCACCTGCTTCACCTCCTCCAGGAACACAGCACGGCGTGAGCTCAGCTCCTTCTTGGTCTCCGCTGATAGGTTCTCCATCTTCTGCGCCTTCAGCAGAGCCTGCAAATACAGCAAGAACTTCTTCATACGCAGCGCAATATCGAACGCAGCAAGGTGCGTCTTCACGTCCTCCGAGGCATAACGTTGCAGAATCGACACGAAGCGTCAGGCCTCTTCAAGAGCAGGCTTCGCAGCGAGCTTCTCTCCAAACGGATCGTCGTCCTTGGGGCGCGTAGGGCCCGGGTTTGCCTTGGCCTTGCCATTCTTGGTGGCCTCGCGTTCCTTGTCCTCGACCACCTTGTGCAGCTTCGCATTGAGCTCTTCCTCCTCTTTCCTCTTGAACTCCGCCTTACGCGCCTTGGCCAATGCATGCTTTGCCTTCTTCTTCTTCTCAGCAGCCGACATGTTGGCGTTTGCCGCAGCGATCTTGGCCTCCTCCTCGGCCTTCTCTCCACCAGAGCAACGAAACTAGCGATAGCGCCATGGGCAGCCTCCACGAAGAACGGGCGGCCGTAGATCTCGTCACAGAGACGCAGCATCTGAATGTACGCACGCAGCGTCATCTTGCGGATGCAGTACGTGTGGAAGTCGAACTGGTCCTCCACGAAGTCGTTGAAGTGCTTCTCCACGGCGAAGAAGCGCTTCAGGGCCAGGCCGTACTTCTTCTGACGCAGTTGACTCTTGCCACACTCGATCTCGTACCATATTTACTGTATATCGTACAAATTCTGCTGCGGGTCACCTTCATGACGAGTGAAGAGCGCAATGGTAGCGTCGGCCTCCTCCACGCAGTCCGCACGCAGCAGATACTCCTAGATGTCGCCTAGTTGTTGATGTATCGGTCAGCCAGATCAAGCTTGCGGCCTTCAACCATCACGGTTTATGGAACCTGCCCAGTCGAGGAAAGATAACCATCACCTTCTTCTCTACTGTTATTGGTATCGCTGGAAGCTTGCTTCTCTGTTGACGTCGTCGTGAGTCTATCGGTGGATACCTTGTAGAAAGCGATCAAAGCGAAGGGTTAATCACGGATCCTTGGCCGAGTTGCAGTTCTTGTTGGCGAAAAAGGGCGGCGCGTGGTTGCGAAATGACAAAACTACTGCGTTAGAGTTGCTGAAGGGGAAGATCCAGACGGCAATTGATAGGATGGAGATGATAGCGACGTGAATTATTCACGATATGTTGAAGGACACAATAAGCTACCGGACCCTCAGTCGAGACAAATTCACATACTAGTATTAATACAGCTGCCAAACCAAGTCTCAAGCAACTGGAACTGGAAGCTGGTTAAGTTCACTGACTCGAATGAACCGATGTATTCGGATGAATGCACACAGTTAGTGGAAGACAAGTTTTTCGTTGTAGATGGATGTGTTTGATTGGAACTACAAAATACACCTCCACTGTCTCAAAACGGCAACTTGACAAGTCCATCGTCAGTTTCCTTAAAAGCGTCACAAAGTATTGGCATTTGAACGAATGCTTATCCGCCCGCGTTACTTGAACAACCCGAACTCACACTTTTATTATCCCGTCGTCTATAGTTTCCATGAACACTGCGTCGTAACCACCTCGATTCCACTTTCGAAGAACAAGCCACTGCTTCGCCTCGTTCAACGAAATCGTGTCATTCAGGGGAAATACGGCAATTTTGTTGATTTCCACATATCTTGAAGAAATCTTTCTCTCCAATTTGGCCAATACGGTAACACTCGACTCCACCATGAGTGAGATTCGAGAAGAACCACAGCTCAATAGATTTCCGTCTAGTGAAGGATAAATTGAGAGCGACTTGGAAATACGCTGCACAAGGTAGGGCCAAGCATTTGATCAAGCCTCACATCCACCACGGTACCAAGCAAAAATAGGCGATGCATTGCTTCGTCTGAGGACGAGGAAATACTACGCGTACCCAAAACATACTCGTGGATGTAGTCTGTCGCATCAATGGAATGGCCTTGTCCAACTCGACGACTGCGCTCTCAGTAGCTTCGAAAAGAAATGAGTGTAGAACATTTCCAGAAAAACGCAGGCACACACAACAAAACAACCAGCGTTGCAATTGAAGTTGTAGGAATAATCTACAAGGAATTCCGCGAAACGACTCGAAATTAAGCGGATGAAGAGTTTTGTTGAAGTGCATTGTGGGCGTTGTAGTGCAAAGCCAGCAAAGCAATATCTTTATTTATTTTTATTTTTTTGAAAAGACCAAATCTAAATTTACTTCATTAATAGTATCCTTTTAGTGAACAACATATCCAGAACAGACGCTTCAGCATGACACTACTTGTACCTCTGCTCCACCTACTCGCGCTCTTTACAGCCTTCGCCTGTGCAGATCTCACGCGCAACCCGATCGTCGCACTACGTCCGCGCAACCTCGTGGCATTCTACCCCTTGCTATTGGACTCGAGAGACTATGCCCCTAATGGAACTGCAGATGGCTACACGCAAGATGGCTACTCTCACACGACCATCATACCAAAACTCGGAGGGAGGCTAGAGCAAGGCACTGGATTAGACTTCCCAGTTAATATCCATCGTCGCAGCTTCCCACACCTGACAATCGGCGCCTGGGTACAAGTAGGTGAGGCTATGGCTGTCAACAGAGGGTGGGTGATCCATTGAGTAACAATAGTGATTCATTGAGTAAGATCTTTTAAGTGAATTTAACTGTATACTGTAGCTGTCTATTATCACAGACCGGATCAAGCGTTGGTCGATCAGTGTGTGTAGACAGAGGCAAGTGGACAGTAGGAGGTCAAGTATTAGACGTCGCAATGAAATTTGACGAGTGGTCCTTTGTCGCGGTGGTGTTTGATGAAAATTCGACCCAATTTTTCGTGGATGGAGAGATAAAAGAGATCAATACTGTGGTGGGGAGTGTGGCTAGTCCTTTATTGGTGGTTGGAGCCGCAGCAAACGACCCATTAACCGGGTTTACAGGATACGTTAAGTCTGTATTTGTATTCGATTCTGCTCTGTCTGAAACGGAGTTAGCCTATTTGATGACGACGAAAGAGGTTAAAGTGGAGGTTATTCCAGTTCCTACGCTAGTGCCGGATCCAGTGGTAAAGGTTCAACCGAAGCCTCATTTGTATCTAAAAGACCGGTTAGAGAATTCCGTCAGTGCAAGACAGGTTATTGACCCGGATGCAGATGAATACAATGCCGCCTTGCCGGTACTCGACGACACAGAATTATTATCTGTAGAGCTGGTATACGCAGACGACATTCCGACCGATGAGGGCAATTCTGTGGATTTCACTCCGTTTAATTTGTGGTCTTTGGAGCCAAAGCTGCGTGATGTTCACGTCGGGTCCAAAGTGACTGTGCAAGGCTCTCCAAGCTTTGATAGTCTGACCTCGATGTGCAGAATAAATGACGATATCAGCTTCGCTCCCTACAAGGTGACAGCACATTCAATCGCCTGCCAGATCCCAGAGATGAACGTACAAGCTGGTAACGTCACAATTAAGATCTCCATTTCGCAGGATGGAGTATTTTTTACTTCTATCGGAGAGTTCAGATTGCTCCAGAGACCGTCGATCATCCGATTATCTCCACTGCAAACGTTACGTTCCGTTAACCCGCAAGTTATTGACATTTTCGGGATGAATTTCGTAAATTTGTCTACTCTGAGCTGCTCGATCGGCGATTTGACCGCTTTAACGACATTCATCTCCTCGTTTAGGATACAGTGCGCGATTGAGTCTACACGCTACTATGAAAGGTTATCAAGTGTGCAAGTTGATGTTACTGCCAATGGAGTGGACTTTTCAGACGACCCGAAAGATTTGGAGTTAATAAATGCACCAATTATTGACAGACTGTCGCCGGACAATGGACCCACAACAGGAGGAACAGTAGTCGAGATATCAGGTCATGGGTTTCTTGAGAATATGCGCTACGCTATTTATTGTGGCCAAAATGTGACGGATGATGTCGAGTTTATGAGTCCCAATTTACTAATTTGGAGAACTACAGGAGCTAATTTCACAGGTATTGTGGGCGTGAAGCTAAAAGTCGAGGATAAGCTGGTTCCTGAGATCCCAAGCTTGCAGTTCTCCTTCACGTTGACACCACAAATTACGTCAATTTTCCCTCAGCTTCTTCCTGTTCGATCAGAAATATTACTGACAATTTCTGGAAGTGACTTTGGCGATTTTGCTGAACTTCGTTGTTCATTCAAGACGTTGACAAGTGGCGGTAAAGCATTGGACTCGACATCTTGGACGTCCATAGCAACGTTTATAGCTTCATCCATTGTTCAGTGCCCGACACCACCGTTCCACGACGCAGGGTTTTATGCGGTTTCTGTATCGAACAATGCTCAGGACTTTTCGTCCATATCAAGCCTTGCCAGCATTACTATTCACGACGAAATTCTTCTGGAAAATGCATCAATCTCGTCCGGACCGGCAACAGGAGGAACTAGCGTTGATATCACAGGGAAACAATTTGTGAGATCTACTGATGTGACCTGTCGATTCGGACAGAGTCGAGCTCGAGGGTATTTTATCTCAGATTCAGTGATTCGATGTATTAGTCCAGCGTGGAGTCCAGTGATTGTCACTGAAGGAATTTCACCGGTACCAATTCGAGTCGCACTGAACGGACTTGATTTCTCCAGTTCTAGTCTTTCTTTCCAGTACTATGCTCCACCCGTGGTTGATGCGATATCGCCGGTGAATGTACCTGTGAATACTTCTGTATCTCTCGCTCTTAATGGGAAGTATCTCGTGTCATTTGGAGGAATTGTCTGTCGTATTGGGACGTTACTAGTCACCGGAACCGCGAAGAATGGCGGTCGAATGATTCAATGCAATCGCCTCCATACCTCCATGGACTCTGGTTTCGTGGAGATCAGTGTTTCTCTTAATGGTGGACGTGATTTTACACGAACTCGAATCAATCTTCTAGTACACGAACCGGTCGCATTACGCGGACTTGATACACCTTACGTAGCGAAGAACGTCAATTCTTCTATTACAGTACGAGGACAAGGTTTTCTAAAAGGTGATGGAACAATGTGTGTCTACGGAGAGAAGCTAACGACTGCCTCTGTCATCAGTTCAGAGATTCTAACGTGTCCTCTACCGTCTACAATCCAGTCTGGTCGTAACTATGAGCTACGTATTAGCCTAAACAATGGCACCCATTTGTCGAACAGTTCTACGCACGTGTACGTGTATGACCTGCCAACATTCGATACTATTTCGCCTCAGACAGAGATTCTTCATGTAAAGGGTGCTGGGTTCGTTCTCAATGACAGTTTTTTGCTGGCGATCGAGTGCATTTTCGGAGATTACGTTCGTGTTGCTGCACGAGTGGATAATGACTCAAGTTTGTTTTGTGGTATTCCAGAAATGGAGTTGAGTGGAAATACGTCGAAGACAGTGGCCGTTAGTTTTCAAGTTGGAGGATCCATTATCACAACTGATTTTACCTATACATATGAACCTACTCTCAAGTTTGTAGCTTTTGATCCTGGTGCTGTACCGGGTAGAATGCCTCTCATATTTCAAAACAATTGGTCACATGGCTATACTTTAACACCCAATTTCTCATTCGACACTCCAATGCCTAGTACAGACACTCCAGTTCTATTACTACCTGTCGTACTCCCTGAAATTTACGATGTTTCACCGAAACTTGTGGAGAAAGGTTCGCGCGTAAATATCACGATACATGGACAGAATTTCAAGAAAAATAGCACTTTCTGTCATTTTAGCTCGCAACAAAAGCCCATTCCGGCGGTCGTCAAGTCTCACGCAGTCGCGGTGTGTGCCTTCGACGGCTCTTTCGTTCATCCTGGCAGTATCAGCCTCTCGTTAAGCTTAAATCGTTTACGACCAAGCATTACTGCCGCAGCTTTTTTTGTACTCTTAGACTGTCCAACAATCACGTCCATTTACCCTCGACGAGGTCCTCTTGATGGAAATACAACAGTTCACATCGCGGGTACGGGTTTCGTTGACAATCAAGCATTGTATTGTCATTTTGATGGGCTACCTAAAGTACTTGCCAGAAGACTTACAAGCACCATGGTTCAATGCCTCACACCGCCGAGTCGAAGTGGACGAGACTCGGTCCTTCGCGTCTCGATCGACTCAAGTATTTATTCTTCAAATAGTATACAGTTTGTGTACCAAGACATGCCTCAATTGGCGAGCATGTCACCGTCCTATGGTAGTGTTGAAGGTGGAACGATGGTGGTTCTTAACGGGCGATGGCTGAATGTTTCAGAAGATGTTGTCATGTGTGCATTTGGCTCTATTCGAGTTGATACGCAGATTGGGAATTCTACTAATGTTATTGTTGCATCGCCTCCTAGTGCGGTTGGAATTGGCGATGTGACTGTGAAGTGCACGCTGAATGGAGAGCTGATTACACCGGCTAAGTTTTCGTTCCATTATCTCCTGACACCTTATCTTTCTCGTATTGCGCCACAAATGGGTTTGGTATCTTCTAGTACCAAAATTCTGGTCGATGGCATTGGTTTCAGTGAAAAGTACCCTATGTCATGTCATTTTGGCAACGAGAGCAGTCCTGCAATCGTTTTATCTTCGTTTCAACTGGAATGTATTGCTCCACCGTATAGTCTAGGTATTGTTAACATCAGTGTTACATTGAGTGGTGCCTCTGTTGGAAACTCATCTGTCGCTTTCGAATATATTGGTACGTAATCATCCGTTTATCTTAGATTTCGTGATGCTAATCGCTTGTTGTTTTGAAATCCAATAGCTGAGCCAAAGCTTCAGCAGTTGATCCCACCGCTTGGCTCTGAGGGTGGATCTACGAGGATTCTAATCGTTGGAGAGAAATTTACTCGTCATGCCGATATGAGCTGCTTATTCAGTCGTGACGACGACCCCGTGGTTGTAACTACGGCTGCGTTCTGGATAAGCGAAGGGGTAATCATTTGTCATACCCCGCCATTTAGTCCTGGCCTGGCTTACGTCCAGCTCGCACTGGGTGAGAATCTCGCAAGTAACAGACTACCATTCAACTTTACCAGTACGTACTCGAAGACTTCACATTTAAAGCGTTGTATTTACTAACTGACTGGCCATGTTTGTGTGCAGTTGAACCACAGGTATTCTCTGTTTCGCCCAAGCGTAGCTCCGGGGCTGGAAACGCTATAGTAACGATAACTGGAGCTGGATTCGTTAATTCCAACGTTTTTCGCTGCAAAATGGGTACAACAATTGTTCGGCCGGTCAAATTTGAGAGCGAATCACGTGTTATTTGTAAATTTCCGCGCCAAATTCATTCAGGATTTCTCCCTGTACGAGTATCGAACAACAACCAAGATTTTACTACCGATCCAGTGTTATTCACGCTATATCCCCCGGTCGTGGTAGACTATGTTACTCCACTCTACGGATTGGTTGACGAGGAATTTACCAGAGTGAATCTGGTGGGTCACAATTCTCACAAAATGGTCGATTTGGTATGCCAAATTATTCAAGATGGTGTCAATCTAGCTACTACTGTAGCCATCTTCGTGAGTACATCGATGCTGACTTGTTCACTGCCGACACCGACGGAGTTTCACTCCATTTCCAACGTGTCTGTAGCTGTGCCAATGACGCTACAAGTGAAAGAAATCTCACAGGAAGAGACAATATTTGAAGCTCCGTTCCGGTACCTGGCAGCGTCAATACCGATGGCTGTATTCCCAACGCTTCTGCTCGTAACAGGAGGACAAACGGTGGTCATTGAGGCTGTGAATCTGGTATCTGGCATTGATTTGGTATGCCAATTTGAATCGTATTACCCATACGACCAGACGTCATTCGTGGTAATTAATGGTACTCATGGGTCTTGCGTTACACCTGAACGTACTCCCGGACCGGTGGAAGTGCGATTATGTGTACGTGATGTGAATCAGTGCAGTCTTGGGTCACTGATGCTCTCGTATGTTCGAATTCCAACTGTTCGGACACTGACATCAACCAGAAAGTTAAAAAGTGGAAGCGTAATGGTTTCTATAGTCGGACAGAATTTCTATAATGTGCCTATGCATTGCGCTTTTGACGGAGTGAGGACATCGGCTATGTTTGTTAACCAATCGCTAGTGGAATGCCTGAGTTTGCCATTTGTATTTGACAAATGCGCCAGATTTTCGCTGTTTGTAGACGAAGTTAATATACTCGACAAGCCACTGGAATATTGTTCTCAGGTTGCACCTATGGCGAACTTAATTCGACCAAGGGCTGGTCCTGAAAGGGGCGGGACACGTGTGCTGGTCAGTGGAGGACCATTCACACTTGATGGTGGATATTCATGTCGATTTGGAGATGCCGACGTACCAGCTGATTATCTGTCGACCACGCAGATATTTTGCATCTCGCCACCAAGTAGAGCACTCACAGTAGAATTTTCAGTTTCTGGAGTCAATTTCTCAATAGCTGACGGACCACAACTGACGTTTTCCTATCACCCAGCCCCAATAGCGAGTAAAATTAACCCACGTCGAGGATCTGAGGAAGGTCACTATCCAGTAATTATCCAAGGCTTATATTTCATTCCTGGTGCTGGTCTGCGATGTCGATTTGGTGTTTCTGGTGTGGTAGCGGGTAAATGGTTGTCCGACACGTCAATTTCTTGCGTGGTGCCTCCACATAGTCTCGGATGGGTAGACGTTCAAGTGACCAATAACCTGCAGGATTATTCCATTGAACCTCTGAGATTTGAGTACGTTGTGAGCCCCACAGTTCTTGGATTCAAACCTAGTACAATGTACGCACAACATGCGACCGAGCTTGTCATCCATGGACGAGATTTTCAGAACTCTAGCGACGTGCGATGTATCATTGGTAACGATCTTACTCAAGCGACTTTCTTGTCAGATACCATACTGAAATGTGATCCACCGAACTTAGTGGAGACTTCCGTCGTGATAGGAGTCATCGATTTTTCACTGTCAATGGTTGGATCGTTCGCGAACGAGAGGCTAACGGTATTAGACGATGGAGTGTGGTCGCTAAAACCTCGCGTGACTTCAGTACGCGGTGAAACTCCGGTTATTCTCTCTCGAAGGTCAAACGATGGACCATTGCAGTTTGAAATGATCTATGGTCGATTTTGTTCTCGAAATCGATTGTTATGCTCAGAACTGACACCGGCCAGTCCTTTAAAAATGAACAACCTTAATTGGTTTCCTCCACGTTGGACGGGTCCAGATCTAATGGGGATTGTCGAGATTTTCAGGATGACAAATGTATCGACAGTACTGACTGCACCTGTAGCAACATTTCCTTATCGTTATTACCGTGAAGTGGAATTGAAGAGCATCACGCCATCGATTGGATCAGTTGCTGGTGGTACAGTTGTTACAATATCTGGCAAATATTTTCAGGATGGACACAACGTCAGCTGTGTAATGAACGGAGTTGCGTTCACTCGAGCACATTTTATCACTGACACGATGATCAGCTGCATGATTCCACCTTTTGTGTCTGGTCCACGAGATATTCGAGTGTTTGTGTCGTTGAACGGACTGGAAATTAGTGAATCTTCGCTGAATTTCAAGTATGTAGAAGATCCTTCTGTTTTCAGTATTTTTCCGAGAGCAGGACCAATTACTGGCACAACAATGGTCAGTGTAAGAGGTGCCAATTTTCTGAGTACGTCAACAAGCGTGTGTAGTTTCGGGTATCATACCATCCCCTCAATTGTTGTTAGCTCAACGGAAGTGACTTGTATCGTCAATCCTTCGAGTTGGTCTTATATTGGACAAGTGAGCTTTCGATTCTCGTCCAATGGGCAGGAATATTCAAAGGAAAATGTGTCGTATTTTATTTACGAGAATCCTTTACTGATTGATCTGAGTCCTCGTGTTGGGAGTGTGAATGGAGGAACCAAATTGACATTTACGTGGGATCAGGTGATATCAATTGAATATTTCGGTAGCGTGTCGTGTCAAATCGATTCAACTGTGCTTGATGAAGTTTCGATCACTGGAAAGACGACTACCGTCGTCGTTCCAGCGGTAGAAAATGGTATTGAGGGGCCAGTAATGACTCGTATCTCATTTAACGGACAGAATTACGCCGACGGGCCGCAGTTTTGGTATTTTCTCGAGCCTAGAATTGAAGCTATCTACCCAAATAGTAGTGGAGAGATGGCGAATACCTGGATTCGAGTAACAGGCGAAAATTTCCCTCGACTTACAACTTTAAGCTGTTTGTTTGGGTCTGTTGATGCTAAAACGGTATCAGCCGAGTGGGTATCTGATAAACTGGTTCTTTGTCGTGCTCCTGAACATCGTCCAGGGACAGTTGACTTTGGGTTTTCGATCAATGGAGTGGATATGATTGATACAAACCTACAGTTTGCATTCACACCAAAGACGATCACGAATGATTACTATCCAATTTCAGGCCCAACTTCCGGTGGATCCGAGTTAACGATACCTGTGGGTGTTGACGCTCAACAATGTCACCGTTTACATTGCATTGTAGGTGACTTCATAGTCATCGCCTTCATGGACAAATCGTATACGGCTGTTAAGTGCACGACACCCCCACAATATCAAGTTGGAGAGGTTTCAATCGCAATTGAGTGCGATGGCAAACCCTTTCTGGAGTTCGAGAGGAAGTTTTCGTACTATATCGCACCGATTATTTCGGACATTGAGCCGCGATCCATGTCGTTAACATCTGGTGGTATCATATCCGTTCGAGGACGTAACTTTCTGGAGACTGTTTTTCACTGCCGATTTGATTCAAATATTGTAACAATGGCAATAATTGTCAGTGAGTCGGAGATTCGATGTATCGCACCGGCGTTCTCTCCACATGCAGTCTATTCATACGTCACACTTGAGATTTCGGCGAATGGTATGGACTTTACTACCAGTGGCACCAAAATACAACTGACACCTTCATTAGACGTGCTTAATATGAGTCCAAGACATGCAATTATCAACCAAGAAGTTGAAATTGTGATTTTTACAACGGGATTGATCATAAATCCAGATATTTTCACTTGCAGAGTCGGTGAAGCGCATGAAGTAGCAGCGTTCATGGCATCGCGCACATCCATCAAGTGCAGATTACCTGCGGCACCTTCTCCTGGACAAGTAATGGTGTCTGTATCCAATAACGGAGTCGACTTTATTGGAGGATCACGCACGACATTACTATATCACTCTTCCCCCATCGTACACTCTATTAGTCAGAGCACCGGGTCGGTGTTCGGTGGTGAAAATGTGGTGGTTTATGGGCGTGGTTTTGTTACGGAAGTGGATATGGTTTGCATCTTTGGTAACACGAGTGTTTCAGCGACATATAAGCGTGAAAACTCGATTTCTTGCTTGGTTCCCCCTGCGCAATGGCTTACTCAAATCCAACATGAAAAAGCAAAGTCGAGTGCGAAAATTGACTTTAAAATAGGTGTTACATGTGGTTCCATTGTTACTGTACTGGAACAAGAAAGCGAATTGTTCTGGACGTACAAACTCCCGGTTGTCGATGTTACTATCTACCCCACAAAAGTTTTGACTGGAAACACTTCAATTGTGAAAGTTAAGGGGTTGGATTCATCCTCATCATACAAAATGCGTCTCATTCCGGAAAATGACGATAGATCTCGTATTTTCGTATCTCTTTATCCCCCGAAAGACGTACGATTTGATGAATTGGAAGGAGAACTACAGCCATTTGTACCTGGTCGATACACTGTGGAGATCGAAGATACCGGAGGATACGTGGTTATTAGCCAAAACCTCTTAATTGAGGTCGTTGACCCTATTCAAGTAGTCAATGTGACGCCCATGAGTGGGCCCGTACGTGGTGATTCTCTCGTGGTACTGGAAATTGATCGAGCGCTCGATCGAGATGATTTGATATGTCTTTTTGGAAAGTATATCACCCTCGCAATTCAGCTGAAGCCTGGCACTGTAGTATGTAAATCTCCACCAGCTAATAACCCTGGACGAGTACGTCTTAGCATTACCATTCGAGATCTGCAAACTTCATACAGCGATGGATACGAGTTTACGTACTATCCGGACGAAGTGATCACTTCCATTTCTCCCGAAAGACTAATAGGATCTCAGCAAAACGAAGCCTTGACAGTAACTGGATTGAACTTTTATCATCCCGACAAGATGGTTACTCCTTTGTGTCGAATCGGTAGCACTGTTACTAGAGCTTCAATTGTATCTCCAAGCAAAGTCATTTGTCCGTCTGCTCTCTTGTCTTCTGGGGAGTATTCAGTCTCTATTGCGTGCGATGGTGTCAACTTTGTTACGTCACCTCGAAATGTTACGTATGTTTCTCGTATTTGGATCACAGCGGTTCAGCCGTCTACTGTCGCTCTAACTGGAGTAACGGATATCGAGATAAAAGGCTGGGGGTTCTCTCAAGAAGTTTCTCTTCAATGTAACTTTGGCCGAGACAGATTCATCCTTCCAGCAGACATAATATCTCCTGGAACCATTCGTTGCTCGACCCCTTCTGTTGGCGAATTCAGTCAAGTTCTACCACTGTCGATGTCCTCGAATATTTCGACTAGCAACGAATTATTAGTATCATTTGAGGCCCCTATCGTTGTGATTTTGGCAACACCAAATGTGGGTTTTAGTCGCGGTGGAGCGACAGTGAAAGTTGATGTCACTTACGTACCTCCTAGTGGTGATTTAAAATGCTTTTTCGGTGACATTCCTGTTAAAGCCCGACGACTTACGTCTTCACAAATCGAGTGTAACAGTCCTCCGCATCGTCCGGAGTCCGTAAAACTTCGGGTTGAAGGAGAAAGTGGTCTTACGGTAGCGGGAGCATCACTGTCTTTCACGTTCTTGCCTGATCTTACAGTGGCAAATGTATCTCCAACACGAGGTTCTGCTGCTGGGGGAACTTCTGTGGAATTTACGCTGTCTGGAGCAGTAAACGAATTGATTCAAGAGATGATTTTGTGTCGATTTGGATCAATTTTTGTCGACGCAGTGTCAATCCTGGACAACCTGGTGACGTGCATTTCTCCTCTGGGGAAGCAGAACGAGGACGTGTCGATGGCGATTGCTTTGAGCGATCAAGATATCGCTGCAAGTCCAGTACGTTTCCAATATGTCGCGATTTGTGAGCTGATTTCGATTGATCCACGGGTTGGTTCACTTGGTGGGAATGTGACGATCAGCGCTCTATTGGGGGATATGGATGTAGGATCAGGAGTCGATTATGAGTGTGGATTTGAAAGACTTGGTGATGGAATAACAATGTCCAAGGCTCAAATATCGTTGTCAGGGGAGCTCCGATGTAGAGTTCCTACAAGTTTTAAGTATCCGAGACGGATTCAGGTCTCAATCTGGCAGAATGGGGAGCGTTATTCGACCAACAAATTGACATTTGAGCTCATCGTTCCTCCAGTTATTGAAAGTGCTACACCGATGTCGATTCCTGAATTCGGAGGAGCTTTAGTTCGTGTAGGTGGGACCGATTTTTCTCCGTATCATAGTTTCATGTGCACATTTGGTGACAACGAAGAAGCTCCAGGAAAAGTGATTTCTAGAAATCTACTGGAATGTGTTTCTCCCAAACTACTACCAGGGAATTACTCGTTTGGGGTATCATGGAACCAACAAGAAAACGTTTTTTCTAGAACGTCCCTGACTGTTCTTGAAGCATTGACACTGGAGTCTATCGAACCGAAATCGGGCTTTAGAGATCAACAAAGGGACGTCCGAGTATTCGGCGCAGGATTTCAGCCATCCGCTAGTCTTGCGTGTCGCTTTGGAGAAGAACCGGTGCCTGCTACGTATGTAAGTCGAACTGAAATTCGCTGTAACGCTCCATTGCTACCGTCATTACCAATTTGGTTCTCTCAGAGCTTGGATCGACATGCTGTTTCTGTTGGAGTGAGTTTGGACGGTGAAACATTTGTTGGCTCATCAGAGACAGCTTTTACGTACCACGCTACACCTCATTTCGACAAGATTTACCCTACGTCAGGCAGCATAATGGGCGGTACACGAATTCTGATTCACGGCGCAATTGATAATACCTTGACATATAACTGTTCATTTAGAGACGAAAGTATGCCAGCGATTCCTCTAAATTCTCGGACCCTTTCCTGCTTTACTCCTATTTCCAAAATCTCTCAGAGGATTGAAGTGAGCGTAGAAGTTCTTGGATTATCTATTGAAGGTGCGATTCCCTTATGGTTTACGTATTTTAACCCTCCAACTATTGAATCTCTGCACCCAACGACTATCAAGGCCAACGGTGGTGAACAGATAATACTCTCTGGAACGAATTTTATTCCAACTAAGGCTCTGCAGTGTCAGTTTGGCGATTCACTAGTTACCAGCCCCGCCACATTCATCTCTTCAACAACAATTGCGTGTATTACACCTCCTCGCAGTACTGCTGGTTACGTCGCAGTGGAAATAACGATGAATGGAGTCGACTATACCACTAGTCGACAGTCTGTCTACTACTACGACTATATCAACGTGCTGAGTGTATTTCCCGAGCAAGTCTCAACTTCTGGTGGCACTGAATTACACCTTGAACTGGCACCAGAATCCTCGCTTACGAACTCGTTAGTTGACTGTATATTTGTCCGCTCTACAAGTACCGTAACACGACCAGCATACGTCGCATCCAGTACCGAGTTGACGTGCTTTACGCCTATGTGGACACCAGGAAATGCCGCGGTTGGAATTCTAGTGAACGGGAAGCAGAGGTTTATGGCAGACGTATTGTTGACGTTTATTACTGAGCCTTGGATACACTCTATCCATCCTGATCACGGACCCACTACTGGTGGAACGTTAGTGACGATATCTGGAGAAGCACTGGACGATACTGCGATTATTTGCATGTTTGGTGAAGTTATGGTTATCCCAAGCACCATTTCCAAGCGTGATGTCACATGCACAGTTCCAAGTGGAGTTAACAACTCTACTGTTGATGTGCGTGTAGCTGTTGGTACCAGTATTCGGTCGAACATAGTGGAATTCTCTTACGATTTACCTATTGAGATTTTTAACGTTTCTATTCAACGTCTGCCAGAAGATGGAGGGAAAGTGCTGTCTGTAACAGGGTCAAATTTTCTCAATACGACGGAATTGTGTTGCGAGATTGGAGCGCAACTACCGACGGTTAAGGCGAATTTCATTGATTCTACCAAGGTGAGGTGCCCTATTTGGAAGGCTCGACTATCTCAAGTCACGGTGGGGGTCAGCAATAATGGCTACGACTTTGCATTCCTTGAAACACCACTGAAGTATGAGGTTAGTCCTTATATTACAGCTGTATATCCCGTATCCGGCCCATTGGCAGGAGATACACCTGTCCGGATTACACTCGCTAATGCTGATTTACTCAAGGACGAAGGTGTGATATTCTGCTCTTTTGGCGAGCAAGACACTCGAGCGTTAAAGGTAGAAAATGATAAGGTAATCTGCATCTCACCAGCGGTTACGCAGCCTTCTGTTGTCCCCGTTTCTTTCTACTGGAGATCAAACGACCTGGAGGACAGATTTGACGCAGAGCAGCAAAATGATATCGAGTTTTACTATGAAATGTTCCCAAGGTTGACGGATATCTCGCCTTCGAGTGGATCTGCAGCTGAAGGAACAGTATTGACGCTTTCTGGGTCTGAATTCCGTGACGGAATGATAGTTCGCTTTGATGTTGGTCGCGATGCGAGATATGTGCCTGCTAGTGTTGTAACTACATCAACTGCTACAGTTGAAGTGCCAGAACAACTGGGTGACGGGATCGTTAGTGTTGCGATATCAGCAAACGAAGTGGATTTTAGGGAAAGCCTGATGTTTTACGTTCGACCCCGGCCAGTCCTGCACTCAGTCTACCCTTCTCAAGTGAGTCTAGCACCCTCCCAGACGAATGTTACACTCACTATTCGGGGTACTGGTTTCAATGAGACTGTTAGAGAGACGATACGGTGTCGAATTGGTGATGATGGATCTCCTAGTACGGCTATCTGGGTCTCAAGTGCTCAGATTTTGTGCTCTGTGCCGTATCTGGATGCTGGAATTTACAACGTTTACGTCGCTCTAAACGGAGTGAACTTTGTGAATGATGGAGTGAAGATTCTGTATCAAGAGCAGTATGTTGTGTATGGAATTGAACCTGCTTTTGGTGTTCTGGGGGGAGGGACGAGAGTGCAAGTGTTCGGCACAAATTTTCATGGAAATACTAACGATACAGATTTGGTCTGTGCTTTCGGTACTAAAGTCTCTCCTCTTCAAGTGGTTAACGCTAGTCTTGCTGAGTGTATCACTCCAAGTCAGCTAAAACCTGGAACTGTATCGTTCTCAATTACTCGTCTGGCAGACATTAATCCCCGGTACAAAACACCGGGAGGCTTGAGCTTATACTATCACAAAGTTCCTACCATATCGAAGATTCTGCCATCAATGATTCGAGCCACAAACGCCTCCTCACTTCGTCTCATTGGCGCCAATTTCATTGATTCTTCTCTACTCTCGTGCTTGATTCAACAAGTTCCAGTTCCTGCAAGATTTATCTCATCAAGTACCATTGAATGTTTACTGAATGAAATGTCCGATGGCACGTGGCTTCCTGACAGTACACTAAGTGTCGAGGTGTCCAATAATGGCCAAGACGTGTCCAATACTGAGCTTCAAATCCTCGTACTTGCTCTCATCCGACTAGTACGCTTGGAGCCGTCAAAAGGTCCTATACGAAAGCCTTTGACAGTGAAAATACTTGTTGAAAATCTCTCTTCGCAGTATCAAAATCTTAAATGTAACATTGGTGAAACGCAAGTTGTGGCTGCAACAAACCTCGGCGATGGATGGATCGAGTGTAACTTACCACCCTCACCACGAGCTGGGATTGTACATATCTCTGTATCCGTTGATGGTGTAAACTACGCATCGAAATCGCTACGTTTCTCGTACGACGATATACCTGTCGTGTACTCAATTTACCCTACTTCTGGCCCCTTCCGAGGCGGGACTATGGTTACAGTTCAGGGCGAGGGATTCGGCATTTCTAGTGGGCTCTATTGCGTCTTTGGCTCCTCTATCGTTGATGCTTACATGAAATCACCACTGACTGCAGAATGTGTCTCGCCTGCGCACATTTCTGGCTCGGAACAAATTGTTAGCG